TAATGTGTTCAGTATCCAATACCGACGACTTACAGAGCTATTCATTTTGGGGGTTTATTTACCGCTACAGATCACCCCCCTTAGTGGGGTAGTAATGACCCTAAGAAGGCCAGCCAGAAGTTTAAATTCAACGAGTTTGTTGTTGATAAACACTCTTCTGATAGCTTGCTAAGTTTAGCAGCGTCTGGTCATCTTTCTTAATATAAGGAACCATGAAGTACAACATAGTAAAAAAAGAAAAATTACAATGAAAATTTCGGTTCCTCGAATACGTGCAAAAACACAAAGCGGGCAAAAAAATGGAAAATAAACTCATGCACATTTAATAGCGTAAAAATTGTTATAATATGTTTTTTTGTCTGTTTTTTTAAAAATAAAAATATAAATATACAAGCATATTAAAATCGTTTTTTTAAAATTATATATAGTACAAAGGAAAATCGTGACGATATAAATTGTCAACTAGTATCTTGCGTGCAATAATCTTTCAAATGTTCTGGAAATCTTACTCTTCTTCCAGAACGCGTCGTCTTAAGTTTATTTTCTGATACTGTCTAAGTATCATCGTGTGTGCTGGCTGTCGGTTGAGGTATTACAGGTATGAGAGTCATGTCGTACGATTGTACCGAAGGAAAATCGACGTGGATAGGATTTCCTTCTAAATACGTTGCTTTGAGGCGATCGATGTTGATGCTATCATTGGTTCCGTTCTTATCGACTATATATTACTTAGATTCACGTTGAAGAACTTTGAAGGGTCCTTCGTACAATGACTCGAGGGGTCGTCGATGTGAGTCTCGACGAACGAAAACGTGTGTACTATATCGTAAGTCAGGTTGAACGAAAACATCAGTTGATTGAGGTCGAGTGGAAGCAGGTTTAACTGAACTCATCGAGTTTGTAAGCCTGTTCGTGTAGGAGGTTAGATCCATGTTCATTGAAGGGGTTGAAGGATCCACGAACTCTCCTGGAAGTCGAAGTGTCGTTCCATAAACGAGTTGAGCTGCAGTGTATCCAATGTCAGCTTTCACTGCATTGCGAATACCTAGTAAGACGAGTGGAAGAGCGTCGGTTCACTGTGAAACGTTTGCAGCTGATGGTGAAGCTTTTAGTTGTCGGTAAAAGCGTTCAACCAACCCGTTCGCTTGTGGGTAGTAGGCGGTCGTTCGGAAGCGAGTGCTTCCTAAAAGTGTGGTCAGACGACGGAAAAGTTCAGATTCAAACTGACGTCCACGATCCGTAGTGATGGTTGAAGGGCAGCCGAAGTTTGCTACCCATCGTTCGACGAAGGCGCGGGCCTTGTCCTTGATAGGTACTGCTTCTGGCCATCGAGTGAAACGGTCTACGCAGGTTAAGAGGTAAGAGTATCCATTTGAATCTTGTAAAAGTCCTACCAAATCCAGATGGACATGGTCAAAACGAGCGTCCGGAGTTTTGAAAGAGCATAAGGGACATTCGTTGTGTGTAATAACCTTAGATTTCTGGCAGCTCACACAGGAGCGTGCCCACTACCTCACGTCTTTATTGATACCAGGCCAGCAATGCCATTCTGACATGAGCTTGATGGTTGCACGAACACCCGGATGAGAAAGTTTGTGCAACGTATTGAAGACGTTGCGTCAATAGTGTTTCAGCACGATTGGGCAATCCCTACCTGTAGATGTGCCACAAAGTAAGGTTTATTTACCTGTTCTCATTTGTTTAATGCACAGCTTAAGGGTTGTTGACGATAACTCGTGCTGAAGATCAATATCTTTTTTTGAAGCTGGGTGAGTTTGAGAGGGCCGATTCCTTGGAAACTGTTCAAGAGAGTTATGCAAGACAAGGCGTCTGCGACTAGATTGTTTGCTCCAGAAATGTGTTGAATGCTTGAAGTAAACTGCGAAATGTGGTCCAGTTGTCGAGACTCACGTGGTGGGTACTTGTCTGAAGAAGAGCCTAAAGAGAAAGTAAGCGGTTTATGGTCAGTAAAAAGGGTGAATTCACGGCCTTCTATATAGTGTTGAAAATGTCCTATAGCACAATACATAGCTAGGAGTTCCCTACCGAATGTGCTGTACCTTGATTCAGTGTCTAGCAACCGTCTAGAGAAAAATGTCAAAGGTTGCCAGGAGTGGTTAACTTATTATTGTAAGACTCCTCTGATTGCTGAGTCGGATCCGCCTGCTGGTCCGTAAGCGGTTTCATAAGTGACGCGCACTTCAGTATGAACCGTCTATAGAAACTTACCAGGCCGTTAAACGTGAGTGATTGCTTAATGGTGTTCAGTTCTGGGTAATCCAGAATGGCCGCCACTTTGGTTCCAATGGGTCGGATGCCTTGCGCATCGATAGTGTGTCCTAGGAAATCTAGGGAGTCTGTTTCGATATCGCATTTCTGAGTGTTTACAGTAATCCCATGTTTTTGTAGTCGGTCGAAAATAAGATCTAGATGCTTGAGATGCGATTCTCTGCCCGGACTTGTTATTAGGCAGTCATCAACAAACGCATGAACAAATTTGAGACCTCGAAAAACGTAATCTATGAACTTTTTGAAAGCTTGGGCAGTGTTTCTTAGACCGGAAGGCATTCGCAAAAATTCGTAGAGTCCGAACGGATTTATGATAGCGGTTTTCGGAATATCGTCAGTAGCCATAGGGATTTGGTCATATGCTTTAACCAAGTCGATTTTCGAAAAGACAGTTGTACCTTTCAAGGCAGCTGTCAAATTGTGAATGTGAGACAACGGGTAACGATCGGGAATGGTTTTGCATTCAATCGCCGATACTCACCAGTTGGACGCCAATCGTTGCTGTCCGTTTTAGGGACCGTGTGCAACGGAGATGCCCATGGGCTGTTTGACGGTCGTATGATTCCTAAGTTTATCATGTGGTCGAATTCGTTTTTCGCCAACCTTAGCTTTTCGGGGGCTATTCGTCATGCTTTAGAGAATATAGGTGGTCTTGTAGTCGTGATGTGATGTGTTACATTGCTGGTTACACACGGCAATTTCGGTTGCGATTAATATATCCCAGAATACTTAACGAGTAATGGTTGATAGAATTAGTCTACCGTGTGCTTAATTGTGACTGGAGATAATCTACAACCGGAAAAAGAAGTTACGCAAACAGATAAATTAGTGTTTCCATCTACTAACCTCCGTTTGCGCGTACTGACGATCAGATTATGGTGTTGGGGAAGGTCTATACCAATGATTGGCATAGAAACATCTGCGAAAACGAAGATTCAGTGAAAGAGTTTGCGTAAACGCACGTTAAGGTAAACGTACCTTTTACCGTATGTGGCTATAAGCTTTCCGTTTGCCGCCTGTAGATTTAAAACCGATTCGTGAAGCCGATCGTTAGAATTCGCTGAAAGGACGCTAACTTCTGACCTAGTATAGACGAGTTAGCGAAATTTCGTTATCACATCTGTAATGTATAACACTTATATCACGACGAGCTCGACAGTGTAGATCACCAACGTAGATGATCTAAATCGAATGATCGGAGGTTTACTAGAGTTATACGGGAATGGTGTGACGAACCAGCTAACGTCAAAGTCACACCTCGTGGTCAGTATCTTACGTGAACTACCCGATTGACGTATCAAGGTATTATAGATGCTTTGAAGACTGAACAACACAGAAGACGTTATTAAAGAAATATATTAGTTAAAGTAGATACAAGCGAAAGTAAGACCACTGCCGCATGGACCAGTCCATGGCGTACGATTACCTGGTGCGCGCTGGTTGTCCTTGAACCTGACGAGGATCGATGATTCGTTCGATATTCAATGACCCAACTGCCGGATGATTTGGCTAAGGCTCAGCGGAATTTCACTGGCCCTACATTACAAATAACTATCACACTAGACTACCACCCATTAGAAATTGAAAAATACTCAGATCCGTACTGAAACAATAAGAAGCAAGAGCAAAGAAATACATCCTTTTTTGCAGGCTCATGAAAATAGTACTGAATATTGGCAATTGGACCATTCAGGTAAGGTGGAATATACAATTCAGTCGGTACTGTGTTGTTTTGTTACTATTGTGTTTTTGCTGTTTTGTGGTCTATAGTTTTGTCTGTACGGTGAGTTTTATAGTAAATAACTGATAAAACACCGCCTTGGTTTTCATTTGCTTTTAACGTACAATGTTTCATCTGACAGGACGGTTTTATGGTCCAATGCCACTTCACATCTACATTGGTTTGCACAAATGTAGTTGTGTTCGTGTGTGTATTCTTGTTGTAAAGTGTTAATACTAAGAGCAAGTATTTTCAAACATACACTTGGTGCTGCTCACAGTCTCTCAGTTTGATGATCGGGTAACCAAATATCACATTGGTCCCATGTTCGTGTGTACTTCTTTTGTTAGGTTTGCGAGGTGTTCATGTTTAGATACTCAAAGGATATAACTATGTGTGAAGGCTTTGTGCTCCCTAAACTCATCGGTGTACATTGTTATTTCGGGTATGACATACTGTCCTACAACTGGTACTGGAACTCATTTAGGACCACCTTTTTGTAGTTTTATCTCAAACTCCAAATAACTACAATTTAACCAACAAAAAGGCACTTATCGGATCTAAGACAACACTCTTGATCCCATTTTGCCGTCGACTGCAATTACTATTTCAACTTCAAGAGACATTTTATCCTAAAAGCATTTTTGAGCACACTTCTCAACAGTAGCCCTACCACTCTACCAGCGCAGCTATGTTTACGTGTGCACTTGTTACGTCAGTGGCTACTTGTGCTAATGCTAGCCGTCCAATTATCAAAACCATTATCTGTTGCAGTTTCAACTTTGATCGTGCAAGTGCAATTTCTTAGTAGGCCTTTTTGTTCAGCACGTGGCGAACCGTAAAACAATACCTTCTCTGGGCTGCATATATCTTCACTATATTTGCTGTTCAGAGTTACATAATATGCTCCTCCTAGTCGTCCGAGACTCAGTAATGTACGACTATATCATCATCCAAATTATCCTAAATATAAAATCTTATAAAAAAACATGGCATCTAATTAGAGGCTATCGGTAATTCTGTTTTAGAAACCTCTCATAGATTTGACACTTTCTATCCATGTTTCCGTTATTCGTTTTCATTCATATCAAAACCATTTGTATAGTTTACATTTATTGGTTGGTTTCCATGTGAGTCCAATGCAAAGCTCAGATGTATTATTTTGCAGCATCAAACCTGAAGATTCTCAGGTCCTACTAGTTTAAGAAGCTCGATTTTTACGAAGAGCAAGCGTCGCATTGGTAAAGCTGTAGTATACCCCCAAAAGGTCGCAAGATCTCGAGCCGTCTAACCAATCAGGAAACCGAGATGATGATATATGCAGTTTGCTATGCTAAAATATTCGCTTTAGGGTCTTCGCATCATAACTGGTGTCAGTTTGCGATGAAAATCCTAACTGGAATTCTTGATATTGATTTATAGAGCTTTGCACACTTACTATTGGCTCGGTTGTATAGAACAGTTTTATTCTGTTTATTATCACCAGCAACCTTATTTTAATACGTACTATGGATTGTACGAAATGGTATGTCCATATGTTGGTGGCAATATGAATAAAAAGTGTTGGCCGTTGAAATCAGTTTACTTAGGCTTAGTGTAAGGTAAGAAGCTGTCTACCGATGTGGGTGGCTCATGTCATTAGTCGTTTTAATAGGTCTAATAGACACCTTTACACTACGAGCAATTATAACTTACCTTTTTGTTGTAAAATATCTCCGACCTGTTTTCCTACATATTAGGAACAATTCAGTAAGTAGTGATACCTAGAAATGCCAGCTACAGTGGCTTGTATATAATTTGTCCAGGTCAACTCAGAGGTATCCATACTGCATAATGTATCTCAGTTTACAAATCCGCCTCACCTACTTCAGTTTAAGCAAATGGATAATAACATCGTGCTTTGAACCAAAGTACTGTTTAAATCCACATAAATAGGTTTGTACTTCGTAAAACAAGTTACATTTGTAGTGGTTGATTATTGATCAAGAAGCTGAAGATCTGTTATTCATTCCACTAAATATTTCCTAATACAAATGACTGAGGGTTTGCAAATTTTCATTGTCGTTGATAAAAATGCTCGAAATATCTAATGTTTCCATATCACATGTCTTGGATAGATGTTTACTTGGTAAAGAACGATACAATAGATTCCTGAATTCAATTGTTACCTGGTCTGAAAGTGCTACTGATATCAATCTTATTATTCAGTCGATATATACACCGACCAGATATACATGCTTCTGTACACTTGTTCTGAATATCGTTTTAGTATTTACACTGAGTTTAGACTATTTATCTCCTTCGATTTTATAGAATGAAGTTGAAGTACATCGGTTGAGGAGATATGAACAATTACGTGACAGTAGGAAAGTTCACTGAAGTACAATTATACACAGCAGTAATTTTAAGACCGTCTGTACTCTTTGAGAAAGCGTAATGAGACAAGGTTGACTGTCAAATGTGAATCCACATTTTGCAACTACTTTCATTTCTCCGCTTGTTTATTCATTCCGCCCTTGTAAAATTAGCTAGTATCACTAGCGATTACCTATGAATGAATTGTATTTCGTTCAGTATATATCATGTATGTTTGGTAATGTCCTTTTGTGAGAGGATGAAATGGGATTTTTATGGCTCCAGTCTTTAAAAAAATTAGAATGACATTATATTACGATCTTTTCTCGCCTTATTTAAATGGTTTCAAAATGTTAATTAGTATATCTCCAAATTCTTCCCATAGCATGTTGACTAGTGCCATAGACCCATAAATTCCTGGTGAAACGGGACCTATTTCATATCAGTGAACGTTGTGGGTGAATGTTTCCAATCATCTCAGATGTGCATGCGAGTTTCTCCAACTGATTCCGGTAACAGCGGAATTTTATTTGTTGGATTCAATCAAGATTATAGTAAATACTTTTTTATATAAATCCTATATTCATTTTGAGATAATATGAAGTACTTAGTGGAAATGTTATAATTTGCCTATGTTTTTAAGAACACTTGAGTCAAGTGTTTTTGTTTTTTATTACTTTCCTATAGCTCAACTACTTCCTCAACAGCGTGGCCTTATTTGAAGTTGTTTACAAATCTTAAGTAGACTAATAAATAAGTGAACCTAAAGAATTGAACGATAAAATATTATGTGATGTTTCTGTTTGTATCAGTCTAAAAAGACGTATGAGAAAAAAGATTAAAGTTAACAAAGGTTATTAAATCACTTGATATAGGCGAATAATGCGTTTATGGAAAAGGATATAGAATTAATAGATCTACATTTTCATGGTTGATTTTAACCCGTCTATCCTGGTTTCTGCAAGCATCTCACGAACTATGATTGTTGTAGTTCTGTTTCTCAGCTCTAATTGAACCAACACGCCCCCAAATGCCCTGATACGGCCGAGCGTGGGGAGAGTTATCTCTCCCTCTCGAAATGCTCTCACATGGTCACACGTTTATAACCACCAACACTCGCTATTTTGTAGATCAGAGTTATATTTTGGCGTGAGCGCTAAGTTCCTGAAACGTTCTTCTATCATCTCATGTAGAATATAAGCCCGTTGTATAACTTCATAATGAATGACAAAGGAAAGATGAATAAACCATGAACATGATTTCGTAAGCTATATTTAGACAAACCGCATTTGGCGACGGTGGTAATAAAAAGCCGAATCTATAATGTTAGATAAATTTTTTTCAGGCACTCGTTTACTCAGATAAACATTAAGATGAGAGACGAAAAAATCAGATGTGTCTACTCAGTTTAGTTGAAACGTAATTGAATGTTTATAGGCGTGAAATGTACAAACAAACATATAGACACATGCGTACTATTATACATACATGTTCGAGGTTACATACATCAGTGACAAAATAACTGAGAAGATTAGAATAACTCATCTGTCAAAAAGTAACGAAAAACCTCGTAGGCGTGTGACAATACTAATTGCTTCAAGAGTAATAAGTAGCTTGAATTGGATAGCATATGCCCCAGCCATCATAAGACAACTCTGCATACAAAATTGAGATGTCTTACTCAACAGTTGTTACGTTGTTCGATCTTCGGAGTTTAATACTGATACGCATACCTTCCATAGGAAAGTATAAACCAGCTACTTGAGTGAGAAAGCTTTATTGACTAAAACCAAATCAAGAGTATATGTAATCTCGTTCACAAATATACATCTTTTTCCCTTGGAAAATAAAGCCATATTTTCAAGCAAAGGCATGTTATTGCTTAGAAACTGAAACCAAATATCGGCCAATGGCGAGCGCTTATTTTTAGCCTTTGTTTGATTGATAGTTAGTCATCTGTGTAAATGACCGATAGTTAGTGTTTAGAAACCGGCTGGTGTGTATTTTAGACATATCAACTTAACAGTAATGTAAATTAATCCTGGAATCCTTCCTAAATACCTACTCTTTCGAATTCACAATAGTTTTCTGTGTTTTAGTGCAGCGTGAAGGAAGACGAAGCCCATTGGTTCTATCCGTGGAACCGTATACTATAATCACGTACTGCAACTATCATTTAGATGGTTGTAGGTAGTCGTCAGCAAACCCTAATTAACCTAGTTTTCGTGATGGTCGGTTCCTTTCACCATAGCATATCCGCAATCCTGAAAGAACGGATGATCCCTGTTGAACATTAGTCAGAGACCAATCAGTGTAAGTATCTCAAACATGTGGGTGGTCAGTCACTACCCGAATAGCTCAGTGGTAAGGTCTTGAACTGTTTCCCATAAGGTTACAGGCAAGTCCTCGTGAATGGTGCTGAGTATTACGAAACCTAAGTCAAGCAGGGCTTTCAAACATCAAAACATAGTCGCAGTATGTAATTATAATATACAATCTGATGAACAAAAGCATTGGGATTAGCCTCCGAAATGAAGGTTTTAGATGGAGTGAGCTTTTAACTTCTAGGCCGAATGGGCCAACCATCAAGTTACTGCTCTACAAGTGTGACACTTATTTATTATTTATTTTATTTGAGCATATAAATATTGGTACAAGGGAGCACCAGATATATATGCGCCACACAAAACAATGAGAATAGGAAGAGAAAAAGAATGTAAGGTGCGTATAGAAAAAGAGAGAACAATAACGACCACAGGTTAGTGTATGGAAGTCAAATAATAATAATGGGGGAAACGAAAAGGTACAACCAGAAAGAATTCTTTCAGTTAAGGAAGTTACAACCACTTTTTATGAAGAAAGTAGAAGAAGGTTACAGCAGGATCGCCACTGGCTTCTATTCTGAGCCATATATGATAACGTCTCTAACCACTGTAATGTGACACTATGTTATCTCTTAAGAAAACACATTTTACAGTCATGAATTTCATAAGATGGTCGCGCAACTTCATGGATTCATTAAAGTCAGATATTAACACTTGGATGACGGCTCAGTGGTCTAAAGGTTAATCATTTGCGCGAAATCGAATGTCCTGGGTTCAGTTCCTGCGTGCGGGATCGGGGATTCACATCGCTGAGGAGTCCCTTATCAGTACAAAACGGTCGTCCAGTGCTTCCAGGTATTCATTGGTGTTCTGACATTAATAGGCTCATGTGTTCAAGGAAATTCAACAATCTCCACAACTCCATATTGAAAATTTCATAAGAATTGATTTTGGTCAGTTGATAACTTCTTGCTTTATCAGACAAGAATAAATGCTTGCTCATTTTGCTTACAAACTCATTCTAAGTGTTCAGTCACTTTTTCCAAACAATTTCCTTGAGGTTGGTTTCTTAAAAAAATTCAGTTTATCAATTTATGTGTCTACACCCGGGTCCTGTATGTTTATTAATTTATTACAGGTTGCTTTGCAGTTGGTATGCAAAATGGATTCAGAATTTTCAATTGTGATCCTTTAAAACAATTAGAACGTTATGGTAAGCATCCTAAATATGCGTGTGTACAACTATCTATCTATCTACCTACCTATCTATCTATCTATCTATCTATCTATCTATCTATATATATATATATATATATATATATATATATATATATATATATATATATTCTTATAGATAAAATAAATAGGCATGAATGTATGAGAACTGAACCTGAGACTCGAGTCTGTTTGAATTATTATGAGAAAAGGTTTTAGTGATGAGGTCATCCGATTGTGAAGTGTAGATTTTTATTAAAGATTTCATTTTGAATCCTAGTTTTCGCTAGAATTTTGTGTTTTTCATCTGCTATGCTAGGCTATGCTACACGAATTTGTTCATTGCAGAAAGCTGCGGTTGGTTATTTATCTAAGATCATTCCGTGATGTTTAGTATGAAACAGAGAAGAATCTCCATAAATCCCTAAAGTAATATATACGTCTATTTAGGACTATACGTCCTACGTCGAAATAATGTGCCAATACATTCACCAAAGCAAATTCAAGTTTATACTTGTTGACACCTTGAATGAATCAATTCTGAGTTTTATTTCTTTCTTTAATACGTAGTCATCGTGAAAGTAGATTGCAAACAACTAGGTTAAACAAATCTAGTGTTAGATGAAGGTTTTTTTTCTATGTTCTCAGAAAGTGAACACATTTGTAAATGCCTCAGCTTGTTTCATTCATAATTTCCGTGTAATTACAAGTTATGTATCAAAATCCACTTATTCCACAGTGATTACTTCCATTCATATACGATGTAAAATAATGAGCAAAGTTTCTGGGGAACGTTTTTTATCAATCTGTGTGTATATAAAGAAGGTTTTCTTACTTCCTAGCACGATCTTCATTTAAAGCTGAATGATAAATGTCACTTCCTTATATATAGTTATTATCTACTAAATAACTAAATGTAGTCAGGGCTTATGGAGAACTATCATTGGAATTGATAAATTTAAGTGGCGCTTGTCAAGGTTATTCGATTTTCCTATTTTTATTTAGTTTTGTTATGGGCACTCTTTTAGAGATATCACTCATCGTCTGACTTCTCAGAAATCGATCTTCCACCAGGAGATTCTCTTTTTGACTTTGAATACATCGACGATATAGTCCTGTTTGGTGAAGATGATGAAAGAATGTAGTCTTCTGACCGCCTTAGGAAACAATGCAAATATGTTTTTGATGCGTTTCTCTCCTTCTAGATACAAACTCACCTCAGGGTTGGTCTGCATTAACTCTTGAAATAACCATAGGAAGCGAAGTAGTTGGGTGTATTAATCGCTTCACTCACCCCAGGTGGGTTAGTGTGGGATGAAGTTTCGGGACGAATTCAGAATGCTCAATCGGCTTCGACAATTTGCGTCACTTGCAGTGTTGGCGATAATTCTTTTTTCCAATCGAGGGACGAGTTTAATATACGCTCTGTTCCACTTTATGAGTGTGAAACATGGTCATTAAAATTAGGTAATATTACTATGTTACTGTCATTCGATCATAGGTGTCTTCGAAGCATTGCTAGAATATTTTGGGACCACCGAGTCGATAATTTCACCCCGTCGTGCTGATAGGGTGCGGTTTAGCATAGCGTGAATATCCAAAGTATCTTATTAAAACAGAATGGATTTTGTTCTATTTGTCATTGTTTAGGCATCAGAGAATACAATTTCCTATTTAATTTGTTTTCGAGACTAGAGTTTATTTATGTAAATAACTACCAAACGTTTCCACAGTAGTCTGTCAGTCATATGTGGCGTAGAACCTGACATATATGTACATCGGTTCCATTTTGCTGCACTACGTACTCACGATGGGATAAAATTATCAAGGCAAGTCCAAGGGTAGTAGATGCATTAACACTGTGGTGTGTGCTACTTATATTGACATAAGTAGCATATGATGTTAGTCGTAAACAGAAGGCCTGGAAGCAGAGAGACAAGAGGATCGAACAGTAAAGAATGGAAACAAGATGCAATTTGTATGAAAATGCAAGAACAATGAAGTCTGAGTCATTTTGAGACAATTGGTGGACATTTTGCAAATTAAGCATTTACTTAGATTTTATTAACAAGTCCTGTAATTTTGTGTTAAATACATTCGATTGTCCCTACCCGTGTTCTGTTCACCACAACACTATTAGTAGTAACAAAAAAGCTTGAACAGCGAAGATGCAATTTGAGAAGAATATGCAAATTAGTAGAATAATAAAAGATTACAAGAAAACTTGGGATAACAACGAATGCGTGTACCTTCTGCATTGCGAACAATTCTGAGCGATGTTACCCAAAGTATCTAACCATTGGTTACAATAATCACGCAAATCATAACCACGTAGTCTGAGCCTACCTACATGTCTCAGTCCAGTAGTCAGTGTCTTCATGGAGTGGTACCATGTGATGGCACCCGTAGCTTTCTTCCAACCTACTCCTTTACTAGCTGTCATCGCGCGTCGAGTTAGTCAGTGCATAGGCATACATATTACATACCCTAACCACTTATGTGTTCTCATCTAGCTATCAGATTAACTTTGAGTTACATCATTTGTATATATAACCCCGTATTTCTTATTTATAATCACTCACATTAAAAAGAATTCGATATCCGAGATGGTACCGGTGTTGGCTACATGGAAATGTTATTTCGTACAAATTTACTTGGTATACTGGGTGGCGGTAATCATTCACGTCTACCAAGTAATGTCGCTTGTTTATGGGATGGAATAAAACAACAATTTGTCTTAGAAATCACCTGTGCTACAGATGTTCGTGGCATTCGTCTAAGACATGATCGGTAAGTGAAAATCTTAGTTGGTCTTCCTACTTTTTTATTGTTATTAATATTTGTATATAAATGGGTACGGTTTGCTTATTGACTAATAAATACACGTTATGTTTAAATTTTTTACTAGGTTTACACCAGACAAGTGAATAATTGTTTGTTTGTGGTGTGACACATTTATGGACAAGGGGATCTTGAGTGGTTAGGAGTATAACGGTAGTCATCACTTCTTGGTTGCTGATACTGTGGAAGTATACTTTTTTGAGGGGTCTGAGAAGGAAAGTGGTTTAGGCATGGTATTAACGACCTGAGCACGTGACCACATTACCCAAAACATAACTACCTTGGGATGATCACACACAGCTTTTTGTGAGTAGTCTTGGTTATGTTAACTACATTCTTTAAATATCTTCGATTGTCAGGCGGACATTACACCTACGCCATAAGTAACGGACGTTAGTTTCTTGTCAATTGAGACTTATCAGTACAGCACATATGCAATGTTCGCGGAAGGGGTGGTGCTAGGATCGGGCATTCGGAACCTTGTCACTTAGTGACACAGACAGGGGTCTTCTGATTACAACTGACATTTTTCTGTCCTAAATATTTATACCGATCACTGATCAATATCGTATCCTTCTAGCCATCAGTGCTAATTGAACTGTAGCCAAACAATCAAACATAACACAAGCAATGTTAAATCCATTTAGACCAGAGGCTATATTACAACTTCACTGACAGAATTTGTAATAACTACTAAGATGTAAAAAAACACGACATTGATAACTACTACACGGTGATTAATCAGTGCGTGAAAGTATCAAAATTATTAGATTTCGTTAACATAAATTCATAGTCTACCATTGTCCAAAATAGAATTATAATAGGGGTAGCACATCGAACATGTAAGAAATCCATGTTTATGCATCGAAATAAACGGCGAGACTATAATTTATGCGCGTCTTAGATTTCAGCGCGAAATTCATTCATCCATTTGGCTAAATAGTGTTTTGGCATTTTAGCTGATATCAGTTCGTGATTAAAACTCTAAATCTAATTTCTAACCGTAACCATTAACTGTAAATCAAAATTGTAATTTCTCACACTGTTTTGTAACCGTCATTTAGTCCTAGTTAGTGGATGGACATTCTCAAGGTCACTTCAGCGTCGCTAAAAGGTTGTCCATAAATTATTGTTTCACCAAATAAACATTCATTTAGTCATTATACCTACCATAATGTGTATACAAACGTATCTGTTATTGATAGATAGATTATATTTTTCCGTAAAATTATTTAAATTAGATAAACTTTCGAGTATAAAAATTATATATCGAAGTGGTATTTAATAAACCAGTAGAAATTCGAAAAGTTATATAAAAATCAGTGTGTACACTAACTATCAATAGTCTCATGTCATGAAGTACGATAATAATGAAAATGAAAGATTTTTTAAAATATTAGATACAGATTATCTGATTGAGATCCACGTGATGATCATAATCGATGGTTAGAGATTTTAATGTAGTGTAACAGAAAATCAATCGTGCAATTGCTTAGATACATTCATTTCTTTGCTTCCTTTCCATCTTGACTTCCAGTATCCTTCCATATATAACTTTTCGCTCTGTCCTTTCATACCATATTTCCAATATTTAGTTTTTTTTAATTTTATACTTATGCTAAGGCGATCACAAGAACAGACATATTCTCTTAACAATGCTAAAATCTTCACTATAAGCGATAACCACAAATGTCTTTCTTTTGTAATTTAATTTTCCACATGAGCTTAACCTTTTTCCGATTACTTGTCATTGTTTTCAGTCCTCTAAATTTTTGTGTACTTGTGGGCCACTTTTTTATTAATACATACATAAATACAGAATTGTACCGATTCGTGCTGTACTACCTCGAACACTAAGTTTTCCTACTGTTTACCTTCTCGCTATATTAGCCGTTACGTGTTGATGTGTTTTGTGTATATTTGTATTAGTTGCTGTTATTGATTATGAAGAGAATCGACCATATCAGAGTAGACTAATCATCTCCTAATTCCGCAAGTGTTGTAAGCCACTAAATGAATCTTCATAGCGAGACACGATACACACATAATAGCTCAGTTGTTCTTCACATAAAGACAAAACAAATGTTCACCGTTTCTCAGTTTCCATTGGTATTCCAGGTAAAATCAGTCCATGACTAACACACCTCTGTACATTCAGCAGTACGACTTCGCCTTCGGACCTTGGGTTTGCTGCTTTTAGTCCTACTGTTCTTCAACCGACCTGTCTGGCATAGCAGGACCTTGAGGAATGGTTGTTCCAACCAGTATAGTTCGATTGGTTCATCTCAATAGGTAAGCCCGACCACCACATCAAGGTAGCAACAACAACCGGGTAATAATACAACCTACGAATATTAAATTTCGATCTAAATTTTGTTTTAACGATAACCAAGTAAGATATCATCCTATAGAAGTGCATTAAGTGAGAAATTTTAAAATTCTACATTCGACAAAATATTTTCTATTATCATAAGATCTGAAGACCAATCATCTTCTAGATCAGTTAAACAATAATTGAAATATCGGCATATATATATGACTTGGTTTTTCCTCTATTTCAATACTGTTCAGTTAAATAGGGCACCTGGATCTGTAAAACTCTTCAGGAATCCGTTACTGAATCGTTGGACATTCAACTAGTCAACTCTTTTAACAACAAAAGATGACTGAATTTTAACTTTCGATACGATTCAGAAAAAAGAAACAATTCTGTGCGTATGCACAGACACACAGGAGAGTGATAGATACTTTGACTTACCTCCTTAGTCAGTGATCCATGTTATTCGTAGATTGAGTACGTCGACATTATCAATGTATCTCTAACTCATAAACTCGGATTAATTTTTCAATAAGTAATAACGTAAAAATGTTAGAGAAATATTGTAGGGCTGTTGATAAAGTTGGTCAAGAAAAATAAATGAATACATTTTCAATGTCAATAAAACAAACCTTTCCGAAAAATCTCATTTGTTCCTAATATTATCATTATCGTCTTCACCATCACCTTTATTTTATTGCCTTCGGTGGAAGTAATGAGTAACATATTTAGTGTGGAGTTATTTTTTTAGAGTCAAATATTTCATCAAAGTATATCCACATATAATAGTTGTCTCAAAGGAGTACCTTAATTCAGGAGGATTTTCGACAAACTAGCAATAAGGATTTAACTTTCCAGTAAGTCATCAGCCATCACCAAAGTAGAACATGGCAAACATGTGTATCGTATTAAACTGTTGTATCACAGTAGCATGATTAGGTGCATATGGTTGGGAAGTTGAAGCCAGTCAACAAGACGAAACCCTGAACATAGTTTTATTGTTAGATATCATTTGGTTAGTCATCATCAATGTATAGACTACAACACATACATATACATTAACTCAAGTTCCCATACTACATTTTGATACGTCTTCTAATTGAACGCTAGATTCGGTTCCTAAGCTCTTCTAGTAACCCCCAGGTTAGATCTACACACCAACTTAAACACGAGAGAAAAAGGCGGGAGATATAGAAGAAACACTTTACTCCAAAGGTTCGTTTATGCACAGAAAATCTAGGGTTTTTATAGTATTTTATATGGCCTTGGGTTTCCGGAAAATTTTGGAACACTACTAAACATAGTAGCAGTATAGATAACCATCCAATCAGAAACTCGTTACATGAATTTCCACTTTCTAGATGTTTCTGGCAAAGCTTCTAGTGAATACTGATTGGATAAGATGGTTCTCAGTGTTTTCAGAGCCTTTTTGGGGTTTTTTCGAGTTTTCTGGATCTCTCCGACACGTTTGCACAACAATATGAATTCAGTAAAGTGAATGGCAAACAAATCGAAGTGATTGTTGTACAACATCAGACAACACTAAATATTGAGAACATACTTTTAAAAGATAGTGAGTAGAGATGTCTGAATAGATACTAGCAATCAAAATGTAGAGGAAAATAGACGATGAGTGGATCTGCGTCGTTTAACATCTTCAACCACAGATGATGGTTATCGGAAGGGCACTAACTAGGGAGTCTGCATCTAACGAATTTAATCTTCGACTTTAGTCATAGCAAAACGATTCATTTACGATATATATATATATATATATATATATATATATATATATATATATATATTGATGCGTTTGTAAAATAATCTATATGTTAAAGGTGACATAGTCCTGACTATAACTGGTACATTGACGTGATGGTCAGTCTTGTCTGTCGTGACAGACCAATCGAACTATATTAACTGGAACACTCGTTCGTTTATGTCCTACCATGACAAGTAGGTTGGTTGGATGGTGAATAATAAAACTAAATGCAGCAAAGTAAGGTCTGACAGCCAAGTGTACTTGTGGTGTGACAGCAACGTATTTCTATCAGGCAATCACATACAGTAATGATTCTTTCTCATAATAGATGGAGGTTCGAGAATATTGACCCTAAAACTGTCAAGCTCTACATTACCTCGTGCATTTCGGTCGCCCGGAGTAAGTTATTTAAGGGATGCAGTTCACATGTCTAAAACTAATTACAAAAAGCTGTGTGTGATCATCCCGAGGTAGTTATATTTTGGGTAATGTAGTCACATGCTCAGGTCGTTAATACCATGCCTAAACCACCACCTTTTCAGATTTCTCAAAAAGAAGTATTTTTCTACAGTATCAGCAACCTTTACTAGCAGTCGAGACCAACTGGCCTCGTTTACTCAAATATATATTACCCTATTGTTTTGTTCTTTAATATTGTGGTTCTGAGTAATTAAACTGTCCAATTTTCAATTTTTCATTATAGAATAATAATTATACTTGTAAATGCTATCAAAGTGTACACATTTAGCCCATCACCTCAATTAATTTTTGAATCAAATACATGTTCAAATCCTTCAGGATTGTGTTATGTCTGTCAAAGTGTTGATAATCCATTGGTTGTATTTCCTGGACGACGACCTGGTGTTGTATCATTAGTTCATATTGGAAATACTGGTTGCAATGTCAATCTTAATAACAACGCAAATAATAACAATCCTGGGAATGTTACTAACAATAACAGTAATACTACTACTAATAATAATATTGGAAGTACAAATACAATATCCATCAATACTATTTGTCCATCATCAACAAATGCTACTAATATGCCACCAAGACAAATAATTGCACATGAAAATCCACTTGCATCAATCACTTTAAATCGTGATGGTTATCTACTGGCAACAGCATCACAAAAAGGCACATTAATTCGTATATTTTCTACAAAAGATTGTACTTTATTACATGAATTACGACGTGGCACTAGTCAAGCTACAATTACATCATTATCATTTAATAAAGATAGTGATTTATTATGTGTTACCAGTGAACGTGGTACTGCGCACATATTTTGTCTTACAAAAGATTCTTTAACTAATCCTCGTAATATTCAAATTAGTAGTAGTAATAGTATTAGTAGTAGTAGTAATAGTAGTAATACTAGTATCAATCATAACCACAGTCCTCACTTGACAAAATCTTCAGGATTTGGGTATGTCGTTGTTGTTGTTATTTGCTTAATTGTTTATTTTGTCGTACTTTTTCAAAACGCTATGTATATATGAGTGTGTTTAAAATTAAGTGTAAAATGAAATTCGATCAAGTAGGTGACTCGAGTTATATCCTCTAATGAGATACAAATATATAGCAGTTTGAATCGCATTTGAATGTTTACTATATGCTATGTAGAGAAGGAGAGAGGAAGTATGAAGAGCAGCACATATGTGTGGAAGTCTGAAATAAAGAAGAACAAGAGAAAAAAATAAGTCGACAACTCAATCAGCACATAGGATGCAATTGCATCTAATTAATGGAAGAAGTCGATGATAGTTAGCAGTAACACAGATATGATATTAAGACAATCTGATAATCAAAACTAAGAGTTGTTAAAGTAAGATTTTGAATGCCACTACGTTAAAACATGCTATTCATAAAAAAGTCACCTGTATTGTGTGTAAATATTGATGATACAAATTAGTTATTCACCTTATTTACTTTAGTATACTAGAAATGTGAATGAGATGTGATGTATGATGATTGACGATATCATGATACTGTTTAGACAGTACATAGGTAACAGTTGTTCTAACCGAGAGGTGGAGGAGTGGTGTACGCTGACCACTGAATGATTGATTAATCGGTGAGTATTTGTGAATGTCATGTTTGTCTAGTGGTTAGTACTGATCGAATGCCTTAGATGGAGTTGGAATGTGGTGACTGGTGTAAGTGAATAAACATTGTGTGAACGATAATTGAATATTGTGTTGTTGGATGTAGTTTTTATGACACCTGATTTGATCTAGGTTTCATGCTATTCGGTACTCGTTAGGGAGACGTACCTTCAGTCTTGTAGGAATTGACGCTTCATGTAGGATTTGAATCTGTTACCCATTCTCATAGTCTGAGACATTATCACTAAACAATTTATATATACGACTCTACCCCTTAGTAAATTAATCCATTTCTTTGCCAGTGAAATGAAATTGTCCTTCAGGCTACTTCTGATTGCCATCTGTTGATCTTCTCATTAGACTACTTCTGATTGGCTTACCATACCACCTTTCCCTCTTGAAATATAAGTCTTGCTCCTTGGATTTAACTGAAGGCGTTGGGGGATATGTCTTCTTCATGATCTTCTTGGGTTCTGGCCATCAATTCTTCTGCACTGATCTTGTCGTTCCAAACTAATTGTATCAACTAAATAATCTAGTGGCAAGTTTGAACTAGGGGGTTCTTTATTCCAATCTAGTCGCCTATAGTGGATGCGGTTTACATATCGCGTCAGACATTTACCTCGAACATCAATTTCGTACATTACGTCACCGACTTTTCACACGATGACACTCGCTATCCACGTAGGCCCCCATTGTCGAGAATTTCTTGTATACATTGGTAACCCATTAGGAATCGGACGTTCGATTCTCCTCACCATGGATTTATATCCTCATTTTCTTTGTGGATACATGCTATCAAATAATGTCCAAGTCTTCCTTATGAACGTTGATTCAGTAGGGTAGACACCACTGGATGAGGCTGAATTCGGGGTTATTCTGTATGCTTATTTTAAACACAGCGCGGTATCGACTGAGCTGTTGAGCTCAAATTTCAATTGGTTTATATCATGAATGAAAAAATAGGAATATCAAAGTAGTTCGCTCAGAATGCATGCAAACTAATAATGGTTGGTCATTTATACTCCCCAGTATCAATAACCTGAAGATGCAAACTCATAGTAAGTAAGCAGAAATTAGTATTATTTCTCAAAAGTTTTCTTAAGTTATATGCTCTTCGACAGAGAGATATAGATATTTACTCATGTATTGTGTTTCTTTTAGAATAAAAAATAAGTTTCTTGGTGTGTCGTTTTTTATGCTACTTGAAATTTCTACTTTCAGTTCCGGTAAACTCTCTCTACGTTCTCTATTTTCTACTACAAGCCATGTACGATGTGTTTTGGAAACGAAATTCAAAGCTATATGTGCTTTCAGTTCTGTCAGTCCTGATACTTTAATAGGTAAGTTTCAAAAGCAGACATTTACTAAGTAATGAATAAAACGCTTTGCTTTTACCCGTAATGTTTATCCGTAGGTTGTTTTACTTATAACTGATTGATCTCAGTTGGGGTATTATTGAAAGCCAAAGAGAACGAGACAGATGTTCCATCTTTGTTTGCAGACATTTCAAGAGTGGTTATCTGTGACTATATCATCAGGTATCAAATTCCTTGACCTTCAGGTCCCGCGGCGAACGCTTAGTTGTTAGAACCATGGGATCAGTGTCCAATCAAACAGTAAGGTGCGTAATGTTGAGATTAGTCCTATACTAATACGAAATAGCTGTCTTAACAGTTCTCCCTAGTTTTCAATGGTATTCCAAATCAGCTGATTATGGGATGAACATAATCTATAAATCTGACCAATCTTCACTAAACTCATTTCAGCTAAACTATCATATTCAATCCTTTTATTATTTATCATCATAAATCCACCAGTAATTAGTTGTAGATGTTTTATTTATTGTCAAGTAATTAGACCACTATTCATCTGTTTGACTAACTGCTTGTATAAACAGTTATTCTGTTCAAAATTGTCCGTGTCTTAAATAAAACAAAAATGTTTTGATCAATTATAAATTATTGAATAGAAAAGTTATTCAAACGGCAGCATTATTTATCCTACAGGAAGGTGAAATTATTATGCCGGCAAAACATATTGTTCAGTTTCAATAGTCGATTATTTCATCAATGTATTATTTCAAGATTTTTCATTCGTTTTTCTTTCTACAAATCTAATGATAAGTGCACTTGTCACTCTTACGCATTTATCGTAACATATTTAATACACATAATTGACAGAGCTCTAGAAAACTTATCATTGTCGCATGTGTGATTTCTTTATAGCTTTAAATCGATTGGATCAAGTGATGTTAGTTAGTTAGCTACACGATATGGCATAACAATCTTCCGATACTATTGGTGCATAAGTGTTCAGGATCGCGAATTGATTAAAGTTACGAGTATAAATCATTACATACCGAATCAATGGTCTGAAGGTTGAACGCTTTTCACGAAACCTGAAGATCCTGAGTCAGATCCTCGGCTGTGTCGTGGTTGCGCACAACAGCAGTATCATACTAGGACGAAACAGCTGTTCTGCGCTTCCACATTCTTAATAATTATTTAAATAAGTCAAGTCAGTGATGTCAACTATCTCCATAAGCCCGTCACACTAGTTAGTTAGTTAGTTATTGAGTTAGATGTTCTCAGCACTTTCAAATTATTCTCGTCACCCAACCTTATCAATCAGGAATGTATCGTTTAGAGCTCTAAACTTTCAATTATTAGGCCCCGAGGTTCAAACCAAACTCTGTCTCTGTTGGTCTAAACAACCTAGTAGTATCACCATCAGTAATTAAAAAGATTTATGTTCAAGACTTTAGTGAGTTCTACTAGTTAAAGCTTTTCAGTACTGTAGATTTACCACAATTTACGAGTACTACTCCCTTAGTATTTTAAGCTTAACGTTGCTTTAAAACTATGAAAAGATAATAATTAAACATGTAACTGATAATTACTATTTACAGAAAACACAGTTTTACAATTACAATTGTAATCTGCATAAAATTACAATTGAATTGTTACTAATCGGCCCTAACCACACAATAAAAGTTGTCTAGTTGGATTATTTAAATTCTATACTTCACGATGAAACCGAATGTGAAACGAAAAATGTCTATCTTACACAAACAACCAATTAATCATCATCTGAATTATTGGGTTTTATTTAAATTGAATTACTGTTGTTATGCCTACTACTTGGTTGGAATTCTCACTATAACCGTTATTAGCGGTTTGAGACATTAGATTATATGGCTCGGAATCAGTTACAATGCCCGAGGTTTGTTCACTCTTTATTTTCATCCATATCTTAAGAACCACTATTCCTTCATACATACCTTTCTATCCCATCTTTTTAAAGCGTATTCTGAGATAAGGTGGTGGTTGGAAATAGTCAACAAGAAACCCTGAACCCGGGTTTCGTGCTACTTGGCACTCGTCAACAAGGTGTACCTGTAATCTTGAGGGGACTGACGCTCCCTGATGGATTCGATCCCGTGTCACCCAGCTTCGCAGTCAGAGATGTTACCACTGGGCTATCCACGCTGCGACTGACCTCCTGCGGGACTGAGATGTATTCACAATTAATAGATCACTGGGTGGTGATCAATGTCATGTCCTCCTTCAACATAGTGCACACATGTGAAGTCACCTAGACTAGTGGCCACATTGCTACATGGTCGATAGCATTCGATCTGCACTAATAAGGACCTGACACGCATAACACTGATCACCACCAAGTGATCAATCAATTGTGAAGGCGTATTCTCTTGAATGTTCATTCTTATTTTCATTGTTACTACCTTATTTCAATCTGCTTTACTATTCATCTCATTAATTTCATCTCGTCGTGGTAATGTGGTGTGGCAACTTGAGCTAACGCTCATATTCGAAAGGCTCCAACCCACTAAATTTAACGTTTTAAAGTGATGTTATTTATTCAACGGTAATTTTTACTATTAACAGAATTCATGTTATCGAATTTCAACACTGCTTACACAGTATGAGTGACTCTTTGAATACAACAATGCTTAAAATAAGGATTCATTCCTTAACTCGAAGATGATGTTTTACAATTGTAGCACAAAACGTGATTACTCGTATCGTACCGTTGCACACTCTACCTTTCATAGCCACTGGACTAATAGTGTGATGGTTTGTCAAAGTGCCATTTGTCTCTCTGTCTTTTACTTCATGAAGATTGACCTTATCTGCTACACCTTCACGCATTTTATGCTTTTCATTTATATTTTCATTGGCTTTTACAAAATATTTCCACAGTTCCGTCTCTGTAATATGTACTAATCATTTCCTAAATTTCAGTTATCTAAGAAATCAGGGACCTGTCCTGTATATGTATCGCGTAGAGCAGTGGCGGGTTCAGTGGTTAAGGCATTTGGTTTCCATCCACCAAGTCACAAGTTTGAATCCAGCTCTATTCACTTCGATTAGGACAGCTATGTAGTATCACCAGTCCCCTATACTTAGTGTGTAGTTTGAAGCTAATTACACAAATTTGTACTTAGTAAATAAGTGTCAGTTCATGTTACCTTACATCTAACGCTAGCAAAACCTTAGCAGCAAAGGAAAGACAAGTTAAGAGGTATATACAACTTGAAAGGAATAAATAAGTTCAAAAAAGTCTAGAGTATGGGAATATGCTTAAAGATTTTGTTAGAGATGAAGAATGAATGCCACTGCAGCAATGCAATTAATTTTGAACTTAATTTGTCATAATTTTATGTAAATTTATGTAATTTTTATTCTAAACAGTACAAGGATATATTTCATAGACGTGGTCTCTCATGGTTTTTCTAAAGACAAACTATATGTTTGAATGAATGAAATAAAATACTAACCTAACCACTAGTCACATGACTACCAATCGACAGATCACTTTTCTGCTGATTGATTGATCATGGAATAGTAGTGACCAATCAATGTAAACACGTCAGTTCTACCGTTGTTCTGTTGTATTTCAAATAATTCAGTTGTATTGTCTCGAAACTAGGAAGTTGGTTGATACAGATTGAAATCCCACCAAAAATATCAATCCCCTCTAAACTGTATCTACACACTGTTGATACGATTTCCAACTAATAAATACTAAAGTCGAATGGAAATTTCTTATCCGACTATATTCAACCATTAAACACTTATTACTTTTTATGGATTGATCACTAAATCTTTTTTATTGTTAAACCATTATTATTTCTATTTCTAACTTGCTTCTGTTTTCCCTTCATCGCTTCTTCTTTTTCTTCCTCTTTCCTAAATAGTTTTATCCGCAGATGGATCTTACTACAAGTACACATTCACAGCAAATGGTACGGTAACACGTGTAACATTTGTAAACTTTCTAGATTTCTATGATGATGAAACAGATTTTTAATTTTGTCAATGTATCTATTTCTTTGATAATTTAAATACTAAATAATTGTGTTTTTGATAGCTTATCCTATCGGTTCTTTTTCAATTCATGTTAACATAGATTGAATAAATTTAATTCTTTCGTAGTTACTGCTGATTGTTATTATTGTTATTACACTCTCTCTCTCTCTCTCTCCATATATATGTTTGTGTGGGTGTTTGTGTATGTGATTATTTATCCAGTTGTTTTTACTTTTTATTCTGCGTTTGTGATTTGTTTGTTTATTTTTTCTCCAATTCTATTTTTTTTAATTGAACATTGTGTTGTTTTTGTGGGGGGGGGTGTCTTTCCGCGCTTTCTTCATCATGATATATTATACATTTGTAAACTCTGTTTTATACAATGTGAATTTATGAAAAAACGGGTAAGAATGTGTATTATTATGAATAAAAGTAGTAGAGATGTAAAACAATGATTATTGATTATCTTGTTTTTCTACGATTTTCAGTTGTGTTTTTATTTATTTTTTAGGTAATGCTAAGCTTTTCTTTAGTGATTAGAAAATAAATGTTAATCCCCACGTACTTCTCTGTGTAATGTTGTTCAACGGTAAAACATTATGAGAGAGCTAGGAGTAGTCAAACTAAGATGAGATCAAGTCATTTGAATATCAGTTTGAAACTGTAGCAAAATGTGTGATCAAGGTCTCACTTGATGGTTATAATCAATGGTTTAAAAATTGTGTGTGATGTTGAGACACATATGCATCGAATCTTCATCGTTTATCATAAATCCCTAAAACTGAGTAAAATTTGTAACTATATCAGATACAATAGAAGAAATTCATACGATTTGTGTAAACATAAATTGACCACATGAAGAAAAGTTTTTTTAGTAAGCTTAATTAGAACAATGTTTACACCTTTAATATCTCTATAATTTCATTTATGAATTGTGATGTAATCATTGGTGTAAGAAATTCCTCAGACAACATTGAGAAGACAAAACATTTTTCTAATGTATCACATATTTACAACAATGATGTCCTATTCTATATGGTACTTATCGACTTTTTGCACCTATATTCATAGTGTTGTTCTCATTGAGGTCTGAACACAGCAATTATTATTAAAACACTAGGATATCGATCGATTTTCTCAAAGTAAACTGACAAATATTCATGAATTTGAAGATGACATTGTAATATGTCAATCGATTGCAGTTAGATCAGATTTTCTCTGAAGCCGAGATGAAAGTAAGAAATACAAGTGTTGGTAGATTATTACAAATAAGTAAATTATTTACCTAACGATAGTCTTTATCCACTTATCCTTATATGAATCATTTGCATAAGTTAAATAATTTGCTATATAAATGTCTTTTAGTTTGTTTATAACTGAATTTCTATATTAACTCTTATCTGTATTTCGGTTGTAGAGATATAATTAGCAGATCTTCAAAAAATAGATTGTAACTCTCACAGTATTTTGTAATTTACCTTCCAGTGCTCCTACTTATTAAACCTTCTGACACTACATGTTTTCTCGATTTTATGTTGCTGTCAAATACGCCCAACTTTTTTCGCTGATTGATTAATTAGTATTAACCAATATTATTGTTTATTATAAACCTTAGTGTCAATCAATTTGGAATATGATCACTAGTTTCAGTGACTTGACGAGTGGCAAACATACACGACATGCAGGTTTATAGCTTTATGATATGATTCTCTCAAACTACTCATTTTGAGATTTATTGATGTTTTTTTTAGAGCCTAATCGATCTTATTTGATAAGTTGAATAAATCCTTTAGTCAAAAAAAAATTGACAATTCTCTCCGGATTAACTTACAATAGGCAAGACACATTAACATTACATAACTTGCTATTTTAAAAGTACTATTTAAGTAAATATATTTTCTATGTAATTCCTTATTAAGCTTTACAACTGTAAATATTTTATCAGATAGTTTACAACCCTTGAATGATAACAAGAAAAATCAATTGTGTATATGCAGTGATTATAAGCTTGTTTAGAATAATTGTGTATGTATGTATGAGGGAAGCAGGTAATGAAAAAATCTTCTCATGTAGCATTAAATTACAAAATAGATGATTTTTTTTTCATATGATGTATAGATAACATTAAGACTATAACCTTATGGAGTTGTTGAGTTTTACTGAAATCATGAACCTATCGAAGTTAGACAACCATTGAAAATATGGAATCACTGGACAGTCATTTTCTTCTAGTATGGGACTCCTCAGCAGTGTACATGCACGACTTCACAGCCGGGAATCGAACATGATGCCTTTAGTTTCGTGCATGAATACTTAACTTCTAGACCACTAAGTCGGCACTCAAAGGTGTTAATGTCTAACTTCAGTCAATCCACTACATTGCGCGATCATCTTCAATTATCTTCGATGGGTAAGTGCCTCACACCTGAGAGAGATTAGCTTAACTGCCCACGTCTTCTCATCAGAAGTCCTGAAATTCCCTCTCGGAGCTAGTCATTAGTCAGTACATAATAATTCTTGGTAAGATCTTGTGAAAAGAAGCTTGGCCGCTAACTTATCCTCGAACTCACGTTTAATCGTAGACAAAAGCTTGAAGATAGGTTGCCTATAGGAGTGCAGCTTAAAATAGCACAGGGTAAATTGTGCAAATCAGAGTGAATGATTTCTCAAAGTTTAAAACACTAGACTTTAATGGGAATAGCAGACACAAAGTGGAAAAATTATTATCTGAACTGTGATTGGGGAATTATGCATGTATTGTTGATTAACGTTTCGCAAGACGTAACAGTTATCACCCATTATCACAGCTTATCTGCACTCTTCAAGGGGTGTATCCTCCCTATGGAATTGGTATTCATGTCAACTTAAAGAGAAAAACATATACTGATAACTCAGTATGCACATAGAATGCAATTACATCTAAATAATGGAAGAATTCGATAATAGTTAGCATTGGCACGGATGTGATATTAAGACAATCTGATAATCAAAACTAAGAGTTGTTAAAGTAAGATTTTGAATGCCACTACGTCAAAACATTCTATTCATAAAAAAGTCACCTGTATTGTGTGTAAATATTGATGATACAAATTAGTTATTCACCTTATTTACTTTAGTATACTAGAAATGTGAATGAGATGTGATGTATGATGATTGACGATATCATGATACTGTTTAGACAATACATAGGTAACAGTTGTTCTAACCGAGAGGTGGAGGAGTGGTGTACGTTAACCACTGAATGATTGATTAATCGGTGAGTATTTGTGAATGTCATGTTTGTCTAGTGGTTAGTACTGATCGAATGCCTTAGATGGAGTTGGAATGTGGTGACTGGTATAAGTGAATAAACATTGTGTGAACGATAATTGAATATTGTGTTGTTGGATGTAGTTTTTGTGACACCTGATTTGATCTATGTTTCATGCTATTCAGTACTCGTTAGGAAGGGATGTTTATTCATTTAGATTAGCGACCATAATGTAGTTTGACTGATAGAAATTAATCTACACTATTAGGTAAGCAAACATGAAATTGGTCACTACTAAGTGGTCAGTCAATGTGAAATGCCACTTTATCCGTCATTGCAGTTCCAAATGATTTAAATAAATATTACTAAATGTAGTTATAATATAGTGAAAACTGACCGCAGATAAATATTTATCTTAACACTTTTTATAAATTATAACAGTCGAAATTGTGGTAAATTCAACGTTTATAAAAAGTGTTTTTGCAGAAACATTTTCAGCTTGATCAATGTTGTTATTTTGTATAGAATAACATAGAGAATTCAATGAAATTCATCCAAACAATACTATGTGAATAAGATAATATTTTGATATGAGTTAACGATTCTGATATTTTGTTGAGATCTGTTCGTCGAACAAATAATCGATGGTCGAGGAATCGTTGAACATTGAGCAACTGTAATGACTTGACAGAATACTGGTTCTTGCACATGTTTTGAACTGTGGACATGATTGTTTACTTACTACTGTATAAGGAAAAAAACACGGATATTGTTTGATTAACAAGAAGAAAGGTAAGACCGATGATGAAGTGTTTATTGTATACTAAACGCAGTTGATCAAAACAACATGTAATATTATTATAAGGTGTATTTCATTCAAATATCCAGTCAACAATCAAATCTAAAATCATTGGACTGGCGGTAAGTTACATTGCATTAATCAATAATTCAATGTGAGTGCATATTTTACAGTATAAATGGATTATCTGCTTTAACTAATCAATATAACTAAATTACTGAATAACTTAATCGCACCTCCGTGATAATAACGCGGTATGACTATTCGATTTAAGTATAAGACTGGACACTATCGTTCATTTTTAATTTCTTACAGAGTAAACCGTACGACTGTTAAGTTTGAAACTGAACGCGACTTAATCGTATTTTATGCTACTAAACTTTTCGTAATTAATTGAAATGTGTTATGAATAATGTTGTTCAGTGTAGCACTTAAACAATATTACACTAAGATTAATCCAGATAGCTATTAACTACGTGACTGTTCTGTTTAATGTGAATATTGAACACTCTAGCAAATTATTTGTTCAATGGTGTTAAGATAATGATTTGCACACCATTAACAATGATATAGAGTAGGTCACTTGTCATGGAATGGATTAGGCATATTTTAACTGTCACAACTAGTAAATTGTAAACGACATATTATTAATTATTCAATGATAAGTTTGACAATTATAATACTTGATTCAAAATGTGACATTATTCAATATAAAATTAAAATGCAGTGAATAAATGGTTTAGTTATTGTACACCTCAAGTATTTAATTAACATTTGTATTTGTTTGTGGTAAATTCTCATAATAGACAGTTCTGTTGATATATCCGATTGATACTTCTTCTACAGTTCTCGTCGTTATATTTCGTTTGCGTCTAGTCGCTCTTTATAGAATAGATTGAATGTGGTTAGCATTGGAATCCAAGATGAGCGTCGCGCCCTGTTTGGGGCTTGTTAGCTTGAACTACAAGGTTCAATAATCATACTGATAACGTTAATACTCAGTAATCATGTGAATAATCCCTGAGGCATTTGTTGCATAACGTAATGGTTCCAAATCCAGGAGTAGAGACTAATCTTGAAATACAGATATATCTGTCCGACGAAACCCCGAATGGGTAGAAAACGCATCCTATATTCCGTTTCTAGTCATATTCTATCCGTCCTATGGGAAATTACCACATAATAGCTATATCGAGACAATTCGCGCATGGTGAAGTTCATTTAAGACTGATCATACACATAGTTCCCTTTATTATCTTAAAGAGAGCAAGAGCGAAGATAAGTGCACCAGTCTTCTCTCTTGCTCTCTTTAAGACTGATCAAAATTAATTATAGAATGAATATAAGCATGTCCACTGAACAGGTTAACGGCCATCCAAACTCAGTAACGCATTGAATGACGTTCTTGTGTTTAGAAAGAAGGCTACTGGGCTCAAATCCCATTGTGAATATCAGCGCGGATTCAAGTACATGAATGAAAAATGTATTAGATGACCAAGTTTAACAAATAGTGC